GTTGTTGTTGTTGTTGTTTTAGTATCGACGCCATGACGCCTAGGTCCTATTGTCAGTAACTTTTCGCACAGTACTCCTTGAGTTAGTTTGACAAACTGACAGCTGATTGGCTTATTGCTGCTGATTTGGTAATCACGTGATGTGGTGTGCCATTGACGATTAATTTTGTTGTTACTATTATTATTATTATTAGTTGTTATTGTTGATTTGATACAGATCGTGTTCTTGGAATGGTTGGGTTTACTTTATTATTATTATTATTATTATTATTATTATTATTATTATTATTATTGTTATTATTGTTATTATTATTTTATACAATTTTTAAAAATTTTATCATTATATATATATATTTTTATCTCTCTCTCTCTCTCTCTCTCTCTCTATATATATATATATATATATATATTTTTATCATTGTCTGTTTTTTTTATGGTGAAAAATAAAAGATGTTCCCATTATTATTATTATTATTATTATTATTATTATTATTATTATTTTAATAATAATTATTATTAGTAGTAGTAGTGGTAATTGAAGTAGTAGTAGTAGTAATAATAGTTTTAGTAGTAGTAGCAGTAGCGGTAGTAGTAGCAGTAGTAGAAGTAGTAGTAGCAATAGTAGTAGTAATAATAGTGGTAGTAGTAGTAGTTGTTGTAGTAGTAGTAATTACAATAACAATAATAATAATAATAATAATCCTTGGTGTAGATTTTGTATTGTAGTATTTGTATAGTGATGCCAGCGACGTAGAAGGGTCTAGCTTTCATTGTTGCCTGCAATTTTTAAATATTTTTATCATGTCACATTGCTGTTGTTGTCGTTGTTGTTGTTGTTGCTGTAAGGTCATTCCTGATAATGATGTCTTTTTATTGTTGTCGCGATGACGACGATGATGACGTCTGCTTTGATTATTATCATATGGTTATACTCGTTGCAGCAGTTTAAATGCCTCCATTGCAAATTGCACTCTATGTTTAATGTTTTAATTATTTATTATTTTTTGGTTAGAATCAGAGATATATTTGCAGCATGCAATAATGAAATGATTGTACATGAGAAGAGTATGAGTTGTGAAAGGAGATGGAGTTGGTTGTTGGAGTTATTTTGTCGAGTGAATCTCTGGGCTGTGTGGATGATTGTGTGGATTGATCGGTTCGGGTCTTTTACCATTGACGTTCAAATAAACGTTTGAACATGCTTGCATTTGAAGCAGTTGTGATATTGTTCGTCACTAATTACGAACCAAGTGCAGAACGAATAACTTGAGTAAATAAATAACAATATAGCACCTCAGCCACTTGCTATGACGCTAAATAAAATGACATTATTATTATTATTATTATTATTATTATTATTATTATTATTGTTATTATATTATTATTATTATTTTTATATTATTGTTATTATATTATTATTGTTATTATATTATGATTATATTATGATTTTATTATTATTATTATTATTATTATTATTGTTATTGTTATTATTATTATTATTGTGCGAGTTACAACGTCTGAGGTGTCTGAGGTGGAACTTTTGGTAGATGAAAATTTCTGTAATGAAGAAGACTTCGATGGAACAAAACTGAGATTATTATTATTATTATTATTATTAGTTGTAGTAGTAGTAGTAATAGTAGTGGTAATAGAAGTAGTAGTAGTAGTAATATTAGTTTTAGTAGTTTATAGTTAATACAAGAACGAAAACTTAATTCAAGGAGAATGGAGGCCATTCGACCATTCTGAATTTTAAGGAAAACCTTTTGAACTTTCATAATCGCTTTATATTATTGTATTATATTGTATTATTATTTGACATTTCTATTTCTTATTGGCAATACAAGTGAGCGTGTCTGTGTGTCTGTGAGCGTGTCTGTGTGTCTGTGTGCGCGTGTGTGTTTTGCTTGGTTAGTCCTTGAAAATGGTGTTCTTCAAAACAAAGTAGATGTCTGTCTTGAAATTGTGCGTAAGTGCATACGTGCGTGTGTATGTGCGTTTGCATTATGTCCTCGTTTAGATACGTATCTACGCGTATGTGTAAGTAGGTTGCATGCATGTAGGCCTGCGTGTATTACTTCTTCTTTGATGTTGATATATGCATGTATGTGTATGTATATGTGTGTATGCATGTATGTATGTTGTATATATATATATATATATATATATATATATATATATATTTGCATATATATATATATATATTGAAACTATCTGTATGCATATATATATATATTGAGACTATCTGTATGTTTGTATGATGTACATAAATATGTTGGAATACTCGTACCGGAAACAGTTATTAAAATAGTAGCTGCAGCAACAGTACTAGCAGCAGCAGCAGCAGCAGTAGTAGTAGTATTAGTAGAAGTGGTAGTAGTAGTGATGGTAGTAGAAATATTTTATTGTTGCCATTGTTCAACATGTTTTATCTATAGACCTTGTCATCAAACAATCAAATGATTTAAGAGTTGTTTACATCTTGATAAAACATATATACAAAAGAGTATATATTAACATGTATGTATGTATGTATGTATGCATGTATGTATGTGTGTGTGTATGTATGTATGTGTGTGTATGTATGTATGTATGTATGTATGTATGTATGTATGTATGTATGTATGTATGTATGTATGTATGTATGTATGTATGTATGTATGTATGTATGTATGTATGTATGTATGTATGTATGTATGTATGTATGTTTGTATGTATGTTTGTATGAGTGTATAACTTCGAACAGTATAAATAAAATTCAGAACGTTTACAGATGGAAAAACTGTAAGCGATAATAGTATTACTACTACTACTACTACTACTACTACTGCTACTACTACTACTGTTGCTACTACTGCTACTACTACAACTACTACAACTTCTAACTTTTCATTATAAATTTTATTAATTTTATTTCAGATTATAACCCTGTTTTAACTGAAATTGCAGTTACTGTCGCTACTACAATTGCTACAAGCAACAACATTACAACAACTACTACTACTGCTACTACTAATAATAACAATAATAATAATAATACTAATAAAGAAATTATTTTAGTCCAAAAAATGTATAAAAGAAGCAACATTAATAACGAAGACGATAATGATGATGATGGAATAAAATTTAGCAATCATTATCATCATCGTCTTCCTTTCAATAACCATCATCATCATCATCACCGCATTGATGATGATGATGGTGATAATATAGATGATGGTGATGATGATGGAAAGCTGAAGCGATTTTCGTTGAATTACTCTTTCCGCAAAAACAACAATAACATTACTGATGGTGATAATGATACCGACGGTGGGGTCATGACCCATAGCGGTCACGTGAACTATATAGATACTATAACTAGCATCGACCATATAAATAAACATTACATTCGCAACAACGACATCAACAACAACATCAACATCAACAACAACATCAACAACAACAGCAACAAAATTTATAACATTGACACCTGCAACTTTACTCCAACTACCACAATTAAATCGGCAATCTATGTTGCAGAAGCAACAACAACAACAACGACAACATTTTCACAACTACATTTAGTGACTACTACAACTTCATTAGCAGCTGCCGCAGCAACTTCATTGGCGACAGCAACGACCACATCTTCATCTGGTTTGGTTCCAATGTTATGTGTCGATCAAGATAGTTTTGTTGTGGCTGATGATGTTGCGATAGATTTGACCTTGAGAAAAAATAAACATCTTGATCAACAAAACAACAACAACAACCGTATAAACGACAATTATATTTGCAATGATATAAAGGAAAATATGAATGATGAAAACAACGACAACATCAACAACGACGTCATCAACAACAACATCATCAACAACAACATCATCAACAACAACAACAACAACATCAACAACATCAACTTCAACCCTGATATCAATACTGACGTGTACACCGACTACTTCAAGATACATTTTGGAGCGTCTGGCTTGCCAAACTTATTTTACGAACATCAAAAACAACAACATCAACAACAACAACAACAATATTATTATCAATACCCACAACAACAATATCACGAACAACAACAATGTCATTATCAATACCAACAACAACTACAATATCATGAACAACAACAACTGCAGCTCTTGTATCAACAACCACATCTACAAAAAGAACAACAACAGCATGAACTTTTTACCCAAGTTTTGTTACAACAACAGCAACAACAACAACAGCAGCAACAACAACAACAACAACTAATTTACTTGCAACAAGCCCACAAAAAACAACAACACCACCATCGTCACCAACGACTTCAACATCATCGTCAACAAACTACTCAACAGGGTAACGAAAAACCAACGAACGACCATTACCCAGAAACATCATCATCATCATTACTATTCCCTTCTTCATCATCATCATCATTTTCAACACCATCATCATCATCATTTTCAACACCACCATCATCATCATCATTCTCGACAGCGTCTGACTTGTTAAGTATTTCAGTAGCATCACCATCACTAATATCGCCAACTATTACATCCTCAATGTTATCATCATCGTCAACATCATCGTCATCATCATCATCATCTACATCATCATCATTATCATCGTCAGCATCATCATTATCATCATCGCAAGTGTCATCATCATCACCACCGAGATTCGCGTCCTATTCGATGGATGATGACCCGACTTACAAAATGAATGAAGTTCTCTTCAATAACCCAGTGAGATCATTTTATTATTTCCTTCTTCCGTTCATTCATTCATTCATTCGTTCGTTCGTTTGTTCGTTCGTTCGTTCATTCGTTATTTCGTTCGTTTGTTCATTCATGCATTTATTCATTCATTCATTCAATTATTCAATCACTCAATCGTTCGTTCATTTGTTCGTTCGTTTGTTTCTTCCTTCCTTTATTCATTTATTCATTCAATCATTTAATTAATTCATTCAATCAATTCATTCATTCAATTCATTCATGCATTCTAGCCGCCCACCAGAGGCTATTTGAATTTAACTGAAGAAGAAAAGGAGACCATGATTGCAGAAGGTAAATAAATTTTTAATAAGAATAAGAAAAATTATTATTATTATTATTTTTATTATTGTTATTATTATTATTATTATCATGGAAAGGTTTCAGCATACCGTATCGTCTGCCTCTGACGCAGAACGAAGTGAAGTGTCTGAAGAAGATAAGAAGGAAAATAAAGAATAAAGTAAATTTATTCATTTCTTATCGTTCTTTCGTTTGTCCGTTCGTTCGTTCGTTCGTTCGTTTATTTGTTTGTTCGTTTGTTTGTTTGTTTGTTTGTTCGTTTGTTTGACTGTTCATTTGTTTTAAACTCAAATGTTCTTTCATTCATACATTCATTTATTCATTCATTCATTCATTTAGTTAGTCAGTCATTCATTCATTCATTCAATCTTTCATTCATTCACACATTCATTCCATTATACCACTATTCATCTTTTCTTTTATTTTACAAACGTGTTTACAGTTTCATTTCACTTTCGATTCATTCATTCATTCGTTCATCATTCATTCATTCATTCATTCATTCATTCATTCATTCATTCATTCATTCATTCATTCATTCATTCATTCATTCATTCATTCATTCATTCATTCATTCATTCATTCAATCAATCAATCATTCAATCAATCATTCATTCATTCATTCATTCATTCATTCGTTCCTTTTCTCTTTCGTTCTTTCACACATTCATTCATTCGTTTATTCTTTCACTCGTATGGAATTTCACGCTATGGTAAACACGTTTCTAAAACTTTAAATTAAAAAGAGTCAACTGACATTTAAAGAGAGAGAGAAGAGTTTCATTCATTCATCCATTCGTCATTCATTCTTTCTGTCATTCTTTCTTACATTCATTCATTCATTTTTTGACATTCATTCATACGTTCATTTGTTCTTTCTTTTTACCATACATTCATTAAGTTCTTAACTATTGCTTGCTTCAGCTAATAGCAGCCATCGATAAATCATTCATTGGTTTTTCATTTATATAAATTTAATTATTCATTTTAACATTCCTTCTATTATCCACTTGTATTTTTTTTAGATCTGATTCCTTTGTTTGTTAGTTTGTTCATTCATTTGTTTATCTATTCATTCGTTCGTTCGTTCGTTCATTCATTCATTCATTCATTCATTTTTTTTATACTTTCTTCGATTCATCTAAACGAAAAAGTATGGCAATTGGCTGATAAAGAACCAGCCACATTCACTAATCAATCAATTTTTTTTCATTTCATATGCTTTCTTGATGATTGATGATCTTGATGATCTTCATTGTACATTTATAAATCATTCATTCTGTTTTTAATTTTTTTATTTTCTCGTTCGTTCGTTCGTTCATTCATTCATTCATTCATCCAATCATATATCAAAATCACCGTCCATTGGTTGATTCATTTAATTCACTCACTCGTTCATCCATCCATTCCTCCAACTATCTATCCATATTAATAATTCATTATTCATACATTCATTCATTCATTCTTTCATTCTTTCATTCACTCATTCATTCACTCTCTCATTTCTAGTTATCAGCTCAAGAAAGTCGCCGAAAAAAAAGGGAGTACATTGACGTGATTGAGTCCAGGTAAAAAAAATTATTATTATTATTATTATTTATTATTATTATTATTTATTATTATTATTATTTATTATTATTTATCATTATTATTATTACTATTATTACAACAACAACCAAAAATAACAACAACAAAAACAACAATAAAAACAACAACAGAATGCAACAGTTCGATTAAAACTGTTAATATAATACGTGTAAATAATAGCAACAACAATAACGACAACAACAACAATAACAACAACAATAACAACAACAACAGAATGCAACAGTACCGGGACGAAAATGTGCACCTATTGAGGAAAGTCGAATTACTGAAAGAACAAAATAGGTTAATAATAATAATAATAATAATAATAATAATATAACAACAACAATAATAATAATAATGATAATAATAATAAAGTGAAACTGACTCGTAAAATTGTATTTGGTAATTTGCACTGTCGTAATTAATGGCCGTATAGTTGTCATCATCACCATCATCATCATCGTCATTGTCGTCCTGATGGTGATGATGATGATGGTGATGATAATGATGGTGATCGTCATCGTCGTCATCATCATCGTCGTCATCATCGTTACGTCATCACAACCACCATCATCACCATTGTCATTATTGTCATCGTCATCATCATTCCCATCATCATCACTGCCACCAGGAGTCTCTCCTCCCAATTAGAATCCATTCGGGATCGTGTGCATCTTTTGGAGCCATCCAAGCAAGGAGCATGCTTCATGGTCGGCGTTGTTATTATATTATAACTTATTATTATAGTTAATTGATTAACTGACTAATTAATTAATTGATTGATTAATGGATCAATAAATTAATCGATTGAATGATTGGTTAATTGTTCGGTTGTTGATGCCATATTAAGCATAGATATAAAAACGAACAACGCAGATTTTAGTTCTTTGCTTTGCCGTCTGTATCGGAAACTGGAAGTATCCGTGCCTTTGGAACGTTGGGTACAGCAAGGCTCTGACGTCATCAATACCCGCCCGCCATTTTTCAGGGATGGTCAATTTGGGCCCCCATCTGCCTGGCATGGTGATGGCTTATAGTAAGGATGTGCTGTCGAAAGATGTCGGACCGAATATAGAGCTACCGATGATTGATACCAAGTACAGATTTAACGGTTGGTACTGGTACAAACTCGGTCGTCGGTGTATTGGTATTTTGTCATTTAGTTTAGTATTATTGTAATATTGTGATTATTTTAGTGCGCGGGCACTCACTCACACACACACACACACACACACACAAACCTAACACATAAACTCACTCTATATATACAAACATACACACATACACGTACACACATACACGCGCATACACTTTAAATTTTTGTATTGCAAACAAAATTAACCCAAACGAAATTATCAAATTACTTTCCTTGCAGCCAACTCGAGAATGATATTCGAAGACGATACCGACTCAATACCGGAACAGGTTAACAATCCGATGCCAATCGATCCGGATGTAGGAATGGGAATAGTAGAGTACATGCCGCAAATTTTTAGCCGGTATCCGATATTGCCCGTTACATTATCGTGCCGAGTCAACGAGTCTGATTTATTTTGATATACCGGACGAATACTTGGATGAACAAATGAACAATATCAAAGATAAATATTTATATCCACATTTACTTGCCATCCTAGATAAAAACACAACAACAATACTACTACTACCACCACTACTACTATCATTACTACAGCTGCTGCTGTTACTACAACTTGTACTGCAGCTGCTACTACTACTACTACTAAGGCGGTTAATAACGAAGTATCATTATCGGCGATATTGCATCAGCGATACTTTTTCAAGTATTTTCTGGCATATTTTCAGGTATTTCATCGGCAAAACGTTTGATGGCGAACATTGTTTCAAATTAATTTTCCGATTTTAGGCAGAAAAATCTCACAACTCGATACAAATACTTTTAAACGTTAAGTGGATATATTTTTATAAATGAGTAATTAAATTTTCAAAGTTTAGCGCGCCTTCCAAATAGTAGGTATAACGTGGAATTTAGAATGAAGAATAGCATATTCGCCTCTAGCCTTCTTATAATATTCTGACACCTCCGTCAGTCACTCCTTGAAAACGTTTCTGTTCATTTATTTGCTTGGCTTATAAGGAAAACTTCAATAACCTGTTTCATTGACAATCCTCTCCCAACTTTTAAAAGGCAGCTGGTCTATATAGAAAGGATGAAAATATTTGCACGATCATTTTGGACTTAAATAATCTAATTCAGTGGCAATGAATTTATGAATTACCTGACAAAAATATTGCCCTTTTCATACTGACAAAAGTTAGGCGCGTGGCTTCTATGATGATTCTAAGACTAATACTAAACAATACATAAGTATTTATAATGATAATAATAACGACAGGGACAAATTCAACGTCCTCACCATTATCTTTTTAACATTCATCATCTCCATTTACTTTTTACATTCTTTCTCGTTGGTAACATTCCATTCGTTCATCTATTTCGTTTCTTTTATTTGTATCCATAAATGCATTCCAACACGCACGTGCGCACACTCACACACAAATATATATATACATATATACAGTGTATATATAATAACATGAATATTTTGTGATAGGTTGAATAACTGCTATTGATTTGATCTACCTTGCCTTATTTGTATATACTTATTTTATTTATATTATGAAGAAAAAATTTAACACAAAAACGCACACACACACAAACACACACACGCATATGTATTGAAGGTAATTGGATAATTATTTTGCTTGCTTCTCGGTGCCTTTACTTTATTTTTTGCGAAGTTTAGGATATATATATTTTTTTAATAAAATAATAAATATTAATTAATGCTTTCAATCAATTAATCAATTAATCAATCAATCAATCAATCATTCCACTAATTAATTAGACCCAATTTATTCGTTTCTATACCAATGAATGTTTTATTTACACAGACCAAAAAATGATCTGCCTCATTAAAATAGGTTCAATATTTTAAATTGGACACCAAAGGCTGAGTGCTAAAAAAATCCATCGACACTATTTAATATGTATCGATACAACATAAAAACAATAAAAACACACACACAAACAAACAAACAACACACACACACAAACACGTACACACACACACACACACACACACACAAAGTTGGACAGTGATCAATACTATATAAACAACTGATACAGACTAACATATTAACACAGAGCTAGGTGTAATGAACAAAAGATTAGATATAAACGTGCACACACACACAACCACACACACACACACAAACACACACACACAAATACATTCAACCGAACACACATACATTCAATCAATCAAACACACACACACTCACTCACACACACACACACACAGGCACAGACGAACATGTACACACATAAATTCAAACACGCATACATTCAATAAAAAACACATACACACACGAAGTACAACACATCTACTCTCTCTCTATTTCTATATAATAATTACAAGCAAATCCAAGTTAATAATAATAAATAAAAATATTAATTATTAAATCTTTTTCAGTGTCTTCTTGATTAAATTTAATCTTTGCTTGTGAGCCTCGGCCATGTGACTCTTCTTGATTGGCCTTATCTCCTCCGTTCCAAACCCTGGAACCCAGATGTTGTGGTTTCGTTCTGTCGGGTGGTGGGGTGTGGTGTGGGGTGGAGAAAGAAAGAAAGAAATTATATTAATAATAACAAATTATGATTATTAATTATAATTAGTAGCATTAATTAATAATAGTAAAAGTAGTAGTAGTGGTAGTAGTAGTAGTCACAGCAGCAGCCGCAGCAGTAGTAAGTAGTATTAGTAGTAGTAGCAGCAAATAAATATTATCAATGCTACTACCATTGTTGTTGTTATTATTTTTTAAAATAACCCTAAAGTATAACCGCCTACCTAATATGAGCTGTAGGTCTTTAACCTCGAGCGCGTTCGACTTTCTATTTTTAGCCAGGTCACATGACGTAGAGACGACATTATCGATGAAGTCGTCCGTTATCATTATCAGCATCTGTAGTGTCGTAAGAGAAATTATTATTATTCTATTATTATTATTATTGTTGTTGTTGTTATTAAAAAATGGTCACCACCAATGGTGTGATATGGCACTGATTGGTGTAATATATCTGGCACTGCTCTGTTGCAGCGATAACCGGGTTTGAATGCAAACAGATCCCTAACAATGTACGTGATGAGTTAGTTAATTCAGGTGTGATGAGTTAATCAATCCAGGTGTATTTTTGGTGTGCTATGCGTTTGTTGTTGTTGCGTACTACTCGAAGAGAAAATGCTAAAAATAGAATTTAGAACAAGCACCTCCTCGACGTCCTCCTCCAATTGTAACATGGGGTCGACCTCTTTCGCTAGATCGGTCAGCCTTTGCTTGTCAATCAACTACGTTATGGAAAAGTAATAACTGGCTAGTACTAAATACTATTTTTAATTACTTCAGTATTATTTTTACTAATTTTTTTAAAGATTTATATAGTAAAGTAATTGACACTGTTAAAAAATTCTATGTATGTATGTGTGTGTGTATGTATGTATGTGTGTATGTATGTATGTGTGTGTGTGTGTATGTATACGTGTAGGTAACCTTAAGTCCTTCTGTTGGCAGAGTAGGCTGTTGATAACTGTTGTTGAGATGGAGGTGAGTGTTGTTAGTTGAAGATGCCCCAACAACATTATTAACCATAATGTTGTTATTATTATTATTACTATTATCATTGGTGAATAAATTTTTAGTGGCGGCGAAGCTATTATTATTCATAATCATATTATTGTTGTTGTTGTTGTTGATGCTACTATTACTGAAAAATACATTATTATTATTATTATTTGTATTATTATTCGTATTATTATTATTATTGCTGATGTTATTGTTATTCGTCGGGTTGTTGCTCATAGCAACCGATGTTGCGGAAATTTGTTGCTGCTGCACAATGGAGCCAGCCGGAAAATTCTGCCTATCGGCGCTAGGTGACGCCAACAACTGCGGCGTTAGTGAAGCTGTTTGTGCACTGGCCGGCGGACACGGAGACGCGAACTCGCTGCCCAAATTTTCTGCCTAAATAATAATTGTAGTAATCAGTAATAATGGTAATGGGTAAAACAAAAAATCTGAATTATTATTCATGTTGAAATTGAATTGTGAGCCACTAATTTGAAATTTTTACAAGCTGATAAAAAACTAACCATTTGCAAATTTTTCGGCAATTCCTACCAACTCGAAAATATTTAAAAACCGTAAAACTTATTCACGATTTATACATAAAAACGACTTGCAGCCTTGTTCACTTTTTGTTGTAAGCCCAAACAAGAAAGTAAATTTAACTAATCGCTATTTACGATAGCTCTTTGTTATTAAAAGTAAATTTAAGTTGTAAAAGTAAACCTAAATTTAGAAGTTGTCATTTATAAATTTGGTTAAAAATAATTATTAAGAAATACTTCAGAATGATGTCCAACAAATTTCAACCAACTTTTAGTGAGAAAACTCACATGGGTTGGTCAGTGCTGGCCGTCACTAATCACATCATGAAATCGTCTGGTGCTGAAAGAGAGAAGTTGAAATTTTACATTAATTATTAATTTAATTAATATGATTAATAATAATAATATTAATTTTATATTTAATTTAATTATTTATAAATTGAAGTTTTATAACTAAATTATTGAAATTAATAAAACAAAGGTTTGAATTCACATTATACCTCCCACACCTACCTGAAATGGTGTTCCCTAACAATGTCCTGAAATTAGTGAACCAATCCAGTGGCCACGGTCTGGAATTTACGGCGTTGGAGGCCCTAAAATTAGTGGACTATCAGCATGAGTCGATTCATGTTGCAAATTCTAGTACATGGAAAGAAGCAAGGTCTATTTTAGTCCCTTGATAACCATTACAATTTTTAACTATTATTTCATTTATTTATTTTTTATTTTAAAAAAATTATTTATAATTTACTTAATATTATGTTGAAGCTATTTGTTTACATAACTATAATTAATTAATTAATTATTTATTTTTTTATTTATTGATCATAAACTTTCTCAAATATTTTTCAGAAGTTTCAGCAGCAAATCCAAGCACCTTTAATCATCATACCATCTCATTTTCCATATTTAATTATGTAAAACACGAATAAATTAATAAATTTTCTAAGGGCTGATTGTGAGCACATCGATAAGGTCGTAACTCCTTTCGACTGGACCTACACCACAGATTATAGAGGGTCTTTGGTTGGAAATTTTAAGGTGATGATTATGATAACGATGGTGATGATGATGAGGATGATAACTTTTATTCTTTCTTTCGTTTATCCATTTGTTCATTTATTCACTCAGATATTCATTAACTTGTTTTTTCTGATATTCATTTTTTTATTAGTCACTCATTCATTCATTCATTCATGCATGGACCCACTCATACAATCATTGGTATATCTAATTTTCTTAAGTCAAAAAAATCTCCAAATATCGACCATAGATAGAAGAGACAAAAGAGGAAATAGATATGGAAAGGTTAAAATTAAAAGACCCAATATTGTTCTATGCTGACGTAGCCCTCTACGAAGACGAGCTACATGATTGCGGCTGTTCAACAATTAGTGTCAAAATTGTTAGTATAACAATATCATGCTTACGTCACGTAACAGCTTCATATCACGTGATCTCATATGATGACGTCATTTTAATCGTGACATTATCACACGGTTTCATGTTACGTACGCCGTGACGTCATGTTGACGCCATTGATATGATCACTCCACATACATGATCACTTATTCAACTGTAATATCGCATCGCGTGTGACCTTAATTTAAAACCACGGCGTCATTTTAATGATGACATCACACACCACATGACGTCATTTCATCCATGACATACATCACTTGGCCTGACATCATTCTTCCATTAAATCACCTGTGACTTAAATCATTTCAACACGACCTCAACAGAGAACGATGCCGACATACTTCTTCATCTTACTGCGATTCTACTTGCGAGTTGACGACGTCTTAGTACGCGTGAACGATACCAGGATATTCCACGAGGTGAGTTTTCAAGTTAGCTCAGGCGGTAGAGATGCCGAGATTTTGCCTCGCGCTGGTTTTGTTATCGCGCGCTTACCTGGTTCGAAAGCAACCTGTGCCTCATAACTCAGAGGCTGTCATTGGTGTGGATGTGTGACGCCGTCTTTTGTGACACACACACACACACATATATATATATACACACACACACGTACACACACACGCATACACACACACATCAAATTTATCAATACACATATATACTACATAAAGATAAGTATAATTCAAAGATACAAACACTTACGTGTATATCAATGATTATATTTTTAAAGATTTAATACACACATACACAAATACACACATAGAAACATACACACACACAAATACACACGAACACACACACACACACAGGCAGATATTATAGCAGTTAATAGGAATGATGTTATCAAAACAAATTCTCTGCTGCCTTGTTTCACTGTATATCTGTCTGTCTGTCAACAAACAAAAATGACCATCTGTATTGTTTTTATTATTGTTGTTTTTATTATTGTTATTACTATTATTATTGTTGTTATTATTACTATTTTTTAGTTTGGCACCAATCACATCCTGAGAGAATTTACCAAGAGGCAGAGTAAATACGGCGCTTTAGAGGTTGCTGATGATGATGTAATGATGATGACGTAACGATGATGATGACGTGGTGATTATGATGATATTATTATTATTATTACTGTTGTTGTTGTTGTTGTTATTGTTAAAGGTTAAAGGTTAATCTCTTTTTTTTTTGCGTTTGCTTCAGAGGTTTCAACGACAAACACACACAGCGTATATGAATACGCGTGCAAATCGCGCATCATACACATTGCATATGATAGGCGGGGATCTCTTTGTATTCGAACCCAGTCATTGCAATAGCAAGACCAGGCGCCTTTAACCATTGAGCCATCATTGTTGTTATTGTTGTTTTTATTAGGTGCCCTTGGCTGTGATCAGGGACCCGAACGAAATCGTCCAGCACTTATCTGTTGTATATAAAGTGGTTGAAAAGTTGATCATGGTTGATTGATTGGATCGATTTGATTGGTTGGCTGGTGATTGGTTGAGCGAATGAGTAATTGAGTGAATGAGTGATTGATTGATTGAGTGGTTGGTTGTTTTATTCATTAAACATTCATTGATTGATCTGTCTATGTATTGATTGATTGATTGATTGATTGATTGGTTGGTTGACTGACGGACTGACTGACTGGCTGACCGACCGACCGACCGACCGACCGACCGACCGACCGACCGACCGACCGACCGACCGACCGACCGACTGACTGACTGACTGAGTAATAAAAAAATGAATTAATGAATCAGTTCAACAACTTGTATATTTTTACATTTTTTTAAAGCTCATAGAATATCGTTATTTCATTTATCGTTAACGATGACTTTATTTATTTCTTCAACGTATTATTTTTGATAAAAAAAATACATAACTAAATCAATTTTCTTAAATTTACCAAAACGATGATGACGACGATGATGATGAGTGAGATTTTGATTTTGTTGTTGTTGATGATGACGACGATGATGATGATGAGTAAAATTTTGTTGTTGTTGATGATGATGATGAATACGGGAAGTAGGAGAGATGGATGAAGAGGAGGATGAGAGATGACGTCATTTTTGTAGTTGCTCCTGTCTAATAAGAGTGTTGTTGATGACGATGTGGTCACGTGGGTCATAACTGGATAACGATCATGATAATGATCGTCGTTTTGATAACGATGGCCGATGAGGATGACGGTGATGGTGATGATGATGATTGATTGAAATGATGATGATGATGACGTTGGCGATATGAAAAGTCAACAAAATATCGAAGCAAGAAACGGATGTTCAAACAAACGTATGTATGTTTGTTTACAGATAAATCGAACATACACACACACATTTATACACACACATACATACATACATACACACATATACACACACAAATATACTTGCATACACATACATACAATACTACACATACATACAATACTACACATACATACATACATTCATTACATACATACATACATACATACATACATACATACATACATACATACGTACGTACGTACGTACGTACGTACGTACATACATACATACATACATACATTCAGAATAAATACACGTGCCGATGTGGCGCAGGGGCGGACGAGTTTGGGCAACACGGTTTGGTTTGTTGCCTGGGTGGGGGCCGTCAACTACGTCACTCAGCGCTAAACGAATACATTTGTCGGCTCTTCTCCAAGGCTTCAATCCCGGTTCTCAAGGAACCATCCGGCATTTCTGCGCATGATGGTAGGCGCCCAGACGGATGCACACTAATACCTTGGAGAGCCGGCAGATGTTTGGCGTGGGATGTTACGGTCCCTGGCACCCTCGCCGAACGATACGTAAACTGACAAGTAAAGAATGCGGTTTGGCCGCGGCCAGGGCAGCGGACGAGAAAATGAAAAAATATGGGAACGCCCTCCCCTCGATGGAATTCTTGCCAATATGTATCGAGGTTCTCGGCCCGATGGACCCCAACACCCTTAAATTTCTTAAGGCAATATGCAAAATGGTCAGCTTCAGATCAGGCAACAGCAGGGAACTGTTTTTTGCAACCAACCACATTTCGTGCTTGTTGCAGCGGTTCCTGCGTGTCTGTGTGCTTGAAAATATCCAACTGAATGCCGACATGTGCAATTAACGACAAATCAAAGTGTTAATCCATTTGTTACTTGATGTTTGACGGTTCAGTGTCACTCATCATGTTTTGGTTTTAACATACATACATACATTTGAGTATGTACACTTGTATTTCTAAATATGCGCATGTATTAGAAGATTGCGCTATCTCAGTGCATTGCTATTATTGTTATATTATTATTATTATTTATATTTTTGTTATTATAATTGATGTTATTATTGTTAATAATATTATTATTATATTATTATTATTATTATAACACTTGGAGTAATTTAGCTTACTATTTTTTCATTGCTTAAACTCACCGACCGTTAATAACTCGAGGCGAGAATTTTTATTTTTTTGCTTGTTAATATTGTTGTTATTGTAGTTTAGTAAAAGTAGTAGCAGTAGTAGCAGCAGCAGCAGCAGTAATAATATGTAGTAGTAAGTAGTTGCAGTAGAAGTAGTTGTTGTATTAGTTGTAGTAGTAGTAGTTGTTGTAGTAGTAGTAGTTGTTGTAGTAGTTGTAGTTGTTGTTAAGTAGTTGTAGTAGAAGTAGTTGTAGTAGAAGTAGTTGTAGTAGTAGTAGTATTTAAGTAATTAGTAGAAGTTGTTGTTGTAGTAGTTGTTATTATGATTATTGTTATTTATTATGATTATTATTTTATTATTATTTCTATTGTTTTACTCGCATGTTTGTTCTAAGTTTGTTTAATTTTTTTATTTATTTATCTAAGATATGTTTTCATTGCACGTGCTAAGCTAATGCATGGGTTGGGTGGATGGGTTTTTCCTGTGTTTGTGCGTGCGTGCGTGTGCGTGTGTGTATCTGTATTTCTCTCTCTTTTTCTCTCTTTTTTTTCTCTCTCTTTTTTCTCTCTCTTTTTTTTCTCTCTCTTCCCTCTCTCTCTCTCTCTCTCTCTCTCTCTCTCTCTCTCTCTCTCTCTCTCTCTCTCTCTCTCTCTCTCTCTCTGTATGTTTGTGTATCGTGCCCATAGCCGGCCGGCTACTGATGCTGGAACGGTACTTTCCCTTTTCCGCAGTTGTCCAGTAAAGGAGATGGAATTCCTCTCAAAAGAAGATGAAACGTTTTTGCTGGCTGTTCTAACCGGAATAAGAATATAAGTCCTGCTTTTTTTGTTTTTTTTTTCGTTAGAAGGATGTTGATTTGCCAGACAGCGGGAATTGATCTGGCTGGCAACATCTTGTTTTGTTCCCGCTGTTTTAAAAACACCTTTAGTGCCTATACATACATCTCTCTCTCTCTTTCTCTCTCTCTCTCTCTCTCTCTCTATATATATATATATATACATAATAAACTTTGATGTCGTTTGATCAATTTTTTAATTTGTTTAAACAGTGCTTTTATTAAAGGAGTTTCTCACGTTGTTTAGCCCAAATGCATACATATGAATATGCATACACAACACACACACAAACATACATACATACATGCATACACACATACATACCTACTAATACATACAAAACATTGTGTATATTTGTAATTATATATAAGGTATTTCTCAGAAATACAAGCAACAAACACACAGTGCATGTTAAATAAGTGTGAACCAACGCATCACACAGAAACAAATTGCATGTGGTCACCAGGGATTGTCTTGCATTCAAACCCAGTCAGTTCAAATGCAGTGCTAAGTATCTTAAACTTCACGCTATAACACTGCCCCATCTCTAGATACGCAGGTAATTTTTTTGGTAAATTTTCTGATCGTATAATTGTATTTGTGTATTTGTCTGTGCATGTGCGTGCGTGTATGTGTGTGTAAATGTGTGTGTATGTGTTTTGTGTATTTGTCTGTGTATGTATGTACGTGTATGTGTGTGTGTTTGTGTAGGGTATGTTTGTGTGTATTTGTATATGTATATTTAGGTATTCCACTCTGTATAGTTTTCTTTTTTTGGCATGCATGCATTAAGTGTATACATGGCGATAAGTTTGTTCATGATGATGTAGACAAATATTTGTATAAACGAAGTAGGTGAGTGTGTGTCTGTCTGTGTGTGTATCTATGTGTGCGTGTATATACATATGTGTGTTTGTATATATATATATATATGTGAGTATTTGTGTGGGTGGTTGTATGTATGTTTGTATGTATGAATGTATGTATGTTTGATTATAAATGTATGTATGTTAAAACCAAATCATTGACGGATGACACCAAAAGCCAAGCGTCTGACTAAATTTGATTTTATTTGCTATAACGTCACTCAACCCCGTCGGCATTCAACTCCACATTTTCCAACACACAGACGCGCAAAAACCGCTGCAGAATGCACGAGATATTATTCATAGCGAAAAAATATTCCCTACTATCGCCTGACCTAATACTGATATTTTTACAAATTCGATTGAAAAACCCGGAGGTGTTACGGTCCATGGGGCCGAAGACCTCGATACAAATCGGTAAAAACTCCATCGAGGGGAGAGCTCCGTCGTACTTTTTGATCTTCTCGTCAGATGCCCTGGTTGCAGCCAAACCGCTTTCTTTGCTAGTAAGCTGCACGTAGCGCTCAGCAAAGGTGCCTGGAACGGTAACGTCCCACGCCAAGCACCTGCCAGCTCTCCAAGGGATCAAGGTACACCCGTCAGGGCGCTTACCGTCGAGCGTTTTGGAAGTGCTGAAATCAGTTCACGTGCGGCGTGGACGGCCGCCTCAGCACCACCTTTCACACCGACGCCCAATTGGATAGGATAGAGTTTGGCTTTGACCTGTTCCAACACTAGCGCCAGAGCGCACTTACTGGCCAGCCTCCTCCAGAAATTCCCCACCGCGATGGGTCTGATCCCTCCATCTTTTTTGTTTAAAGTCACCAGACGGCCCCCAAAAAAGAAACGGCTAACCGCGGGAGGGCAGACCCCAGATAACAACAAATTTACAAACCGGGTGAGGTTATTTAACAATTCATCGGTGGGCGTCGGACCGGAAAGTAAATCCTTTATGTGCTGAGGCCTCAAGCCATCAAGGCCTCCCGATAAACCATTATTAAACAACTTTAAAGCCGTCAACACCTGGGCTGGTGAAACGCGACCATTGGACGGCTCCTGCGCGGGGAAAGCTCGCCTGTTCAATGGAGCACTGGGATGAATAGCTTTGAGTTTAGCGAGTGTCTCAGGCGAGCTCTCCGCCAGGCCTGCGGGCGAACAAGCAAGTCTGACGGCCGCCGAGAGACTGCCCTGTTCAATCCGAGTGGTTACTGCACTAATCCAACTGTTTGGATTGTGCTTACGCGGTTTGGTGTTGTGGTCAGTGTTGAAGCTTGCCACAATAATCTCGACTTCGGTCGAACTGAATTCGGCCAACCGTTTAATAACGTAATTGGCTTGATTAGTCCTGCGACCGCCCCTGGTGGGCTTGAACAAAACAAATGCGAAAAAACATTGGAGCCTGCACCAATGGGCCGCGTCGCAGGGATCATCGCAAACGGCCGTCAATAAAGCCGACAATGCTTTAGATACCTTGTCTCTGCACGGTTTTTAATCATACAGATGGGCAGTCCTCAAAACGACCGTCAGCCTGTCAAAAACATGAAAAAAATCCACTTGGGAGGGACTCTCCGAGACCGACGCTGAAGAACCGCGTGTAGCAACATGAGGGCTGATGACAGGTGCAGCGGTAAGAGGCGGTCGCGCGGAAGCAGATGAACCAGCCGGAGGCTGGTCGGCTGCCTTGAACGAACCAGGGCATTCCTGGCCCTTCACTTTTTCTCCATGTCGATATAGTTTACCGTCCGGTTTTATTTTATAATGATTTACAAACCGTGCATTGGTATAGGACCGGTGCCATTACGTCAACGAAATAAAATTAAAAGCGAGTAGATAAAACCGTGTGAACAGTGATAAAATAAAATAAATAAAATTGTGGTGAAAATATAAAAGGTTAATTTAAATAAATTTAAAAATTAAAAGAAAAACTAGGAATGAAACAGAGAAAACATAAATAAATATTAATGAGCATTGTACGGTGCAGCTGGGTAAAAGCCCACAGCTGTTGTTAAAGTATGGTAAAGCTAAAATTAAAAATTTGAGACCACAAAAGTTAAAAAACCAACCGAACGGCGGGACACTAATCCGAAAAAGGGCAAAAAAGCGACAACTTATGAAAACCACACCTGAAAAACCGAAATTATTGCAACAAAAACCTTAAAAACCAGAAATATTACTAAAAAGTGTATGTATGTATGTGTGAATGTATGAATGAATGAATGTTTGTATGTATGTATATATGTATGTATGAATGAATGTTTGTATGTATGTATGATGTAGATATGTATGTATGTGTTTGTTGGCTCATTACGTAAGTCTGTCTGTCTATGCTTGCCTGTATGTCTGTATATGTGTTTGTAATTGTAAATGTATGTGTGTGTGTGTATATGTGTTTGTATGAGATTTTTTTTAAAAATATATACGTGATCGCAAGCAGGATATAGATATTTCAAGCATAATTTGAAATATTAAATTAAACTGGTTATCACAGAAAAACTTATTATTATTATTTTGATTATTATTTATTATTATTGCTATTCTTTCTATTTTTATTACCATAATATATATATATTCTTCTTCTTATTACTATATATATATATATATATATATATATATCTATATATATATATATATATATATATATCCCCTTTCTATCTCTCTCCTCTCTCTCTCTTTCTCTCTCTCTCTCTTTCTCTCTCTCTCTCTCTCTTTTTCTCTCTCTCTCTTGTTTTCTCCCTCTTTCTTTCTCTCTCTCTATATGTATACATATATTATATATATATATATTCATATAACGGTTTCACGTGATGATATACTGTGTTTCAATGTTTCTCCGACAACTATCATCTTAAATGAATATCTGTGCATATTTGCTATTAAATTATTTATTTATTTATTTATTTATAACAATAATAATAATATGAATATGAATAATAATATTTGTAAATATTATTATTAATGTTGCTGTTGTTATTGTTGGTATTATTAATATTATTATTGTTTTAGCAATTGTTACGGGTGGTAACATTATTTGTAGTGATATATATCGAATAATATTTATAATAGTATTTATAATAATAATAACAATAATAATAATAATAATAATAACAATAAAAATAATTAGTATTCGACGTAATTATGTTTGGTCGGTGGTCAACGATCGATTGGACGAAGGATTTATTAAATAGTAATAATTGTAATAATAATAGTAACAATAATAATAGCAACAATAATAATTCTTATAATTAACCGAAAAATAATTAATTACGTTTGGCGGTCATAAAAACAAATGGACGAATGAATGATTGAATGACTACACTCTATCAATCATCTCTTGTAGGTTGGTTTAGGCCACTATTCATTTCCTCCATCACCACAACTAATTGTCATAAAAATTATAATTGTAATAATAATTAATTACAATAATAATAATAATTACAATAAAACAATAGTAGTAATAATACAAATCTTAGTCATATACAGTGATATTTATAAATCTTTATCATTATTTTTATTATTGTTGCTACTGTCAATGTCGTTATTAATGTTACTAGTTTTATTTTGCTGACTGATTGATTGTTTGATAAGTTGGTTGGTTAGTTGGATGGTTGGCTGGTTAGTTGATTGGTTAGTTGGTTGGTTGGATGGATTGTTGGCTGGTTGGTTGGTTGGTTGGATGGATGGTTGGCTGGTTAGTTGATTGATTGGTTAGTTAGTTAGTTGGTTGGATGGATGGTTGGCTGGTTAGTTGATTGATTGGTTGGTTGGCTGGCTGGCTGGTTGGTTAGTTGGTTGGTTTGATGTGGGGCTGGTTGGTTGATTTGTTAGTCGGTTGGTTGGTTAGATAGTTACAGGAAACAGAAATCTGAGAATTAGGAAAGTTTTTTTATACCGGACTAGAGCGGATGTTGGGACATGGAAAGTGGAATGTTTACCTGTAAGAAAACAACAAGTTTAATTAACGGGCGTGATGACGCAACGTATTGTTTGGAACAGTTGCTAAAAGTACAATGCGCTAATTTTGGCAGTTTCGGGTTTGGCAATGAGAATTATAATGTTTATAAGAGGATTGTTAAGGATTGGTCTGTTGAATGTCAGGTCTATTAATAATAAAGGTTAAACCTTAACCTTTAACCTTTATTATTATTGAAGTAGATAACCTTTGAAATGACACGTTGGTTCTGTTAGAAACATGGCATAGATTTGAAGGTGATATTTCGGTTAACTTAGCTATGCCACCTGGTTTCTCATTTGTGGATTAAGTCAGATAACGCGACCCATGTCAAAGGGGATTGGTGATTTCAAATGATTATAAATATAAAAAGATAAATCTACCTCTATTTTTCAAGTTTGAAGCTGTGTTATGAAGATTGGGATTGATCAGTTCTGTTTAATTGCTCTCTACATACCTGGCACGGATCAGATAACTTCAGTATTCTTTGAAGAGTTGATTTCTATGTTGGAGTTTATTTCAATGTCAGAAGCTTATGTTGTACTTAAGGGCGATTTTAACATTCACATTGAAAAGAGGAATAGTCCTTTTACTCTACGACTGCATGAAATACTCGGTATGTTTCAGCTGGTGAATCCTGTTAATCTATCAGCAAACGCATGTGTCTAGAGGTATGCTAGATCTAGCTATTTGTTCGCACGGTTTTTCAATTCATGATTGGATGGTTGATCTACGTTCAGTGTACTCTGATCACAGTTATATAAGTGTGAGAGTGGAGTTGACCTGGTTGATTGGTTGGTTGGTTGGTTGATTGGTTTGTTGGTTGGTTGGTTTGTTGGTTGGTTGGTTGATTGGTTGGTTGGCTGGTTAGTTGGTTGGTTGGTTGATTGGTTGGTTGGCTGGTTGATTGGTTGGTTAGCAGATTGATTAAATGATTAATTAGTCATCTAGCAAAAGCTAACTTCGTTTATTGAGATGCAGTTAAAATAAATTTCTGCTAAGATAAATTATAACATTAATATTTTTATTATTTTTGTAGTAGTAGCAGCAGCAGCAGTTTCTGTAGCAGTAGTAGTAGCAGTAGTAGTAGCCGACTATAATCATGATCACTATCGCGACACGCACGCGACGACGCTAGGTGCAAATATAATTATCAAAAAACTCTTTCAATAATACTTCTTAACGCTATTATCAAAATTACGGAGGCCATAATAAAAGTAGTAATGATTATAATTATAGTTATAATAATAATTATAGTTATAATAATACTTATAGTTATAATAATAATTATAGTTATAATAATAATTATGGCTTTAATAATCTTCTGATTATTATTATCGAAATACAATAAAATTATATGCAACAATAATAATTTTTTCACATATTTAGACAACAACAACAACATATGGCGACTCACTCCACACACGCACACGCACGTACATACACACACACACACATACACACTGTACTACACACCACACACACACACTATACCACACACACACACACACAGTTAATAAAAATATCGAAATGTCATACCACATATTCAGTTTTGTTCTTTAATTGTTCAGGTGTATTTGTATGTATTTGAGTGTTTGGTTTTGATGATGATGATGACGACGACGATGATGGTGATGATGACGATTGTGAAGATGATGTGTTTTTTTGTTTTATTTTTTGGACATTATGAACAAATTTTGTTTTATTAATTAGTAAAATTGATAATTGAACAGTATAACTTCTGTTAGTTAAGTTACCGCACGAGCCCTGTGGGCTTCCGGTTTTCCTTTAAAAAAATAAATAAACAATCGAATATATATATATATATATATAAATGATGATGACGATTGTGAGGATGATGATGACGATGACGATGATGTTGTTCTGCTTTTACTGTGATGGCGTTGTTTACGTTGCAAAACATAATAATGATATTAATCATAATAAAATTATTATTATTATTATTATTATTATTATTATTATTAAGGTAATGATCGTAGTTTTTGTAATTAATTTCTCGTCAAACCCTCTACACAAATATTTATTGATTGCTTATGCGGAAATAATGTTATTATTAACGATGATGATGACGACAACGATGATGATGATGATAGGTGAAAAAAATGAAAATTGAATGAATGAATGAATGAATTAACGAATGAACGAACGAACGAACGAATGAAAACGATCGAATGAATGAACGAACGAATGAACGAACGAACGAATGACTGAATGAATGAATGAATTGACGAACGGATGAATATACGGATGGATTGAACGTTCAAAAAAGAATGAAACTTGAAACATAAACAACATATCACATGGACGGCATGATAAAAAAACACTGCTACTAACAACTTCACGTGCGGTTCCACTTTTTAATGTTTTAAAAACTTATAAAAAATAGTTTTGCCTAAGGTTATACATGTGTTTCGAGTGAACATGTATGTACGTATTTAGTATGTTTGTTTGCATGCCTCTGTGGGTTTGCTTGTGTTTGTGTGTGTGTATGCGTGTGTGTGTGTGTGTGTGTGTAAGATGTGTAAGATTTTATAAACATATGTCTGGATAAAAATAAGGTAAAATGAATGATAGATCGATAGCATAACATATAATTTACCGTGTAGTAAAAAACTTAATTTAATATAAAAAATCGAAAATGAATTATTCAATAAATAATAACTAAATAAAATGTTATGTCTAAATTTTTTGGTTACCTTCATTCATTCATTCATTCGTACATTAGTTCG